TGTACCCCGCCCATCGCACAGTGATTGCTGGACATGGGCACCGGCGACCCCCGTGACCCAAAATGGAAGAAGCGGGTAAAAGATAATGGATGGATGGAATGATGGATTTGATGTTAATTGATTTTTCAATGAAGAAGCAGAAAACAGAACAATTAAAAAGCAGAAGATGAAATATAATCCCAAAAGAAGACAGAAAAATACAGTTTATAAAATTAATAAAAGCATAAAAGAATAATCTAACAAAGTTCAGTCAAGTCATCTGGACATTTTCTTTTTTTTTTGTTGTTGAGATGTTTCATCCTTCATCCAAAGGACTTCATCAGGCTGAGGAGCCACAACAAACTCAGTCCCACAAGCAGCACATTCCCATAGTGGACCAACCAGTTTGCTGGTGATAAGATGGTTTCTGGAGTCTGCCCTCTCCCCTGTCGACTCCTCTGAGGCAGCCATAGCCAAAGTGGTTCAAGATATCAAAGTTCATGCTCAATAATCCAGGTAAAAAAAATCCAACAAAGTTCATTCTGGTCTCCAAGGAAACATCTCAACAATGAAAAAGAAAAAGAAACTGTCCAGATGACCTGACTGAACTTTGCTGGATTTTTCTACCTGGATTATTGAGCATGAACTTTGACGTTGTGAACCACTTTGTATGGCTGCCTCAGAGGAGTCGACGGTGGAGAGGGCGTGTCATAGAAACCATCTTATCACCAGCAAACTGGTTGGTCCACTATGGGAGTGTGCTGCTTGTGGGACTAAGTCTGTTTGTGGCTCCTCGAATTGATGAAGTCCGTTGGATGAAGGCTGAAATGTCTCAAAAAAAAAAAAAAAAAAAAAACGTTCAGATGACCTGACTTAACTTTGTTGAATTTTTTTACCTGGATTATTGAGCATGGACTTTGATGTTTTGGACCACTTTAGCTATGGCTGCCTCAGAGGAGTCGATGGAGAAGAGGGCGGACTCCAGAAACCATCTTATCACCAGTAAACTGGTTGGTCCACTTTGTGAGTGTGCTGCTTGTGGGACACAGTTTGGTTGTGGCTACTCGGATTGATGAAGTCCTTTGGATGAAGGATGAAACATCTCAAAAAAAAAAGAAAGAAAGAAACCGTCCAGATGACCTGACTTACTCAGTTAATAATTTCAATTTATTTGACTTGTTTCTACCAGTCAACAAAAAAAATAACTTAAAACTTCCTTCACAGCAAAAACGTTCCAAACAGCAGTGAGACTCTTATTAGCTGCAAACATTCACAAGTAAACAAATACATTTTAAAACTACATATAAATTGTAAAGTTTTAAATCTCTTGGCAGTAATAAACTACACAGAAAAAAACAACAACAACAAATGAGCAACAAAAAACCCTGAACAGTAAACAAGTGATTTAAGGGTTGAGTTTTACTCTGGAAAGAAAGACATCTTGACCCCGTTGACACTGATGTGCGGTTC